TATATATATATAGTTAAAGTTTGCAAACACCATGAGCTAAGAAAAGTTCTAACTCTCAGAACACCTTTTGTGAGCCACTGGTCTAATGTACCAAACCCAATTATGCATTCTTTTAGATTTTAATTAATTATATTTTTGTGGTATATCCCAAAACTGAACTAAGTTTTCGATGTATTACGTAAGTACAAACAACACTAAATTCTTTTACAACTCATTACACTACTAAATTTTAAGAGAAAATTTTTTTTCTCTTAAATCATGGATCAATAAACGTGAAGACGCTTAGCATTGAAGGTTTAGTAGGGTAAAATCAAATTAAAACCATTAGTCAATGAGTGAGTGCGTGTGAAGAAAATTTAAAATAACTTCTCAGATTTTATTACTTAATTTATTACGCAATTTGGGAACTGCGATCATTTATGTCAGTCAGTTTAAGAAAGAAATAGTTTAGTTTTAAAATTGCACCCTTTTACAAAACAATATTTTGCACCTACTTGTGAGATAACCAATTTTATGATATTTGATAATTATTTTGTCAATTTTGTGAAAGTTGATTGCCAATATTATGCTCGACCTATCGATAGATTTTTGTAAAATATAATGTCATTTTTCATACGTTTTTATTAGATATCCAATAAAAACTAAAACATCGATTATAACACTAATTGCTTAATGAAAACAAAAATATTCATTCGTTTCAATTAATTCGTAAAGTTTAATAAACTCATTTCTGTCTTTCGTGAAAAGTACCGATCTTAATTGAAAGAAGTCTTTTAAATTACATTGTTTGTTGACGTAGCTGGCTTTATTTAGGTCAACGACTTTATAAATTAATTCCAAAATGGATACGCTGCAGCAAGAAGCGCATTACAATGTCTTGTGATCAGAACAGAAATTAGATAAGATAATTAATGATTTTTTTCACAAGAAACTTTTCTGATACCGACTTTTTCATGTAGTAAAGTACCAGGCTGTAGAACATTCCATGTGGAATTTAGAACATGAAATTCTTGTAGTTTATGACAACTTAAAAAAATATAGATAAAAAACTTATCTATATTTTTAAAAGCCATACTTGAAGTTGTGTATAGGTAGTTGTGCTTTTTAGTTTGAAAGTTAAACTTTATGAAGAAATTCAGTCAAAGTAGGATAAAAGTTTTTTTTTAAACTCAACAAAATTTAAGTGACAAGTTAAAAAGTGTTTATGGATTGGAATTTTTACATTTATTTTAAAATTGTATGATATTTTTTAAGCGATAATACTTATGCAATGCTTCAAGATTCTAGAAATTCGTATTGTTGCTGCTGTTGTCGTCGGCCATTAAGGCAGAGGGAATGTGAATTTTGTACTGCAGTGGCGTCATCTATGGACAAGAATTCAACTTCTGTCACACTCATATGTCACACCCGTTTATAGGGTGGACCGATTCATACATTCACTCATTCATCCACGGATAGTAATTTCATCCTGAACCAGAGAACTATCAATCTCCAATTTAGTAACTCCAGTAATATAATTTGCTATGGGAGCATGGGGGACTTTACGACCCCACAAATTAAATGAGCATCAGTCACCATTTACTACACGGAGAGTCTTCGTCCTATCTGGATTCAAACTCCCGTTCTCACGAACGTGAGTCCAGCGCCCTGCCAACCAGACTAACCCAGCCTCAGAAACGTGTATTGAAATTTCCAATTAGCCTTTAAAACTAATAAATAACTTAACTTATAATTTGATGTGTGGTGGCTGGGTGGCGCAGTTGGTTTGTCGGCGGCCGTCTGAGCCCAAGTCTGCGGGTTCGATCCCCGGCCCAGACACCGGATTTTCGGGATGCAGAAAATCCTCAGCGGCCATGTCGTATGATTATGCGGCATGTAAAAGATCCCTGGAGTGCCTTATTGGCTCTTGGCATTTCTGGCAAAATTAATTCCTAGTGCACTTTAGCATCCAAATAGAGTCTCGGTGCTGCCATCTAGTATGGCAGAAACTAGACGTCCAAATTAACATGACCAACGGTATCTCACCCATTGTGGTGGTCCTGAAAGAGTGGATACCACCTCAAGAGAACGCACTAGGTCTGCTAATCGGCACGACAGATTGTGCAGCTCATTGGAAATAAAAAAAAATAATAATTTCATGTAATTCAACAATTAAAACCTTTCAAAATGATTATTATGCGAAAAATAACTATTCCAATAATAGAGTTATAAAACCTTAAAACTATTTTTATATATAAATCGTGATCCTTAATATTATTCTTATATTAAGGATCTCTTATATATTCTTAGGCAGGTCTATCGAAAAGCTGGGGATCAGACGAAGATCTTTTCATCACTGTTTTAGCCACCAGAAGTCGACTTCAGCTGAGAGCCACGATTGCTGCCTATGAAAGAATAGCTGGCCACATTATGGAAGAAGCCATTAAATCTGAATTTGGTGGAAACATCAGACACGCTCTATTGGCAATAAGTGACGTTCAATCCTTTATAATAATTATTTAATATGTCTCTAAAGTAAATGTTGTGGAGATAGGTATTGCTTGTTTCTTAAGTGTTTTTAAGAATTCAGTAATTAACTGATGTTCACGTTAACCAATTGTTTAATTTCGTTAAATATGTTGATTTATGTACATTTTTGTAATGTATAAAAAATTTGATAATACAATAACGATAATTTATTATCCATGTATCTGGTACCAGACCATCCAAGCAGTTGCAAGTTTTAGACTTTTGTCAGGGCATGACTGTTTGCCTGCCTACTTGTTTTGTTTTTAATTTATAGACTCTCTCTAGTGTTGTTGAGGTGACTCTGGACAACTTTTCAATGCTGATCACATGGACAAGAGCCAGAACACTCAGAAATTTTAAATATCTGCATCAAAAGTATTGGAGAGTTCGAGAGCTAATGGCATGATAGTCAAGGCTTGGCATTTGTCAATAAAAACAAAGATTGTCGATATATTGGAAAAAAAACACTGTTTCATTTTGTTTTATCTCTCAACATGCAAATCTAGAAACAAATACACGGTGGTACAAAAATGTCTTTCGACGTAATATGATAATATGATTCGACGTAATAAAACAAAAATAACAAACTTAACGTTCTTATTTACATTATACTAACTGAATACTTGTTCTTGCTACTGGTTAAAAAAGATAGAAAATAAATAAGTTGTTATTTATCAACGTTGCGAAATTGAGCGCAAATCTGAAAGACATACCTATACATTTGTTAGAAAAAATATTCAATTATTTTAATTTATTATTGTTTGTTGCCCTTACAAATTACTTTACGTTATTAGATTAAGCAAATCACGTTTTTAGTAGTTCATTCGGTGAAAGTAAAAATTTATTAAGAATGAATTGGTATGATGGTGTTGCTAAAGATCAATTCATTATAATCATAACTTATCACAATCAAGCAATCAAGTTCCGGTACTTATTCCTTCTGTAGGACTATAAAATATCTGTTTCTCCCCCACTGTATTTATGTTATAACTGCACAGTTCTGGTGTAATTTTAACAAGTATCAAATTTACTAATGGAATATTTTGCACCGATTGAAACTGCACCTTGCACCCTAATACCAGTGTTGGCTATAGAAATGTCCATTCAAAGATTGAACTATATCAGTGTTTCACTATGATTTTTCGTTTGCATCACTCCTTTTAGACGAGTCGTATTCTTATCCCAATCGAAACTTATTTCTTATATTGCCTGCATCAGTAACCGATACATCATTGAAGGATTTCAAGCTGACGGATAAGTTAAGTGAAGTCAGCTTTGACATCTCTATTGCAAAATTTATTAAGCATCAATGGCGTCAAAATTATTATGGTGATTTTTTACGTTTCTCATAAAAGAATATTTTTTCTCAATTAGTTAGTCGCTTTTTAGTGCACCGCTTATTTTGTCTTATTTCTATTAGTATCTATTACCAACATTCGTTCACCATTAGCATTAGTAATGGTATGCCTAATTTTTGCTTTTTGCCTGAACTAAACTAGAAAGAGATGTCTAAGCCATTTCACTTACCTGTCAATTGAACAAATCATCAATGATCAATCAGTTACTAGTAGTAACCAATAGGAATACGTTTTTATTGGAATAGGAATGAGAATTGTCCAATAGGAATGAGGGAACGACGGTTGCCCTTCACAGCCACAAAATTACGGCAATCAAGTGATATAGAAACCAAGCCTCCGGCTTGGACATCTTTATCTTTATTATTTTTTAACATCTTTATTTATTATTCTCCCTTGCTTTTGCTTTACAGTACATAATTTTTTGTTCAATTAGCATCGATTTAAAATTATTTGGTTCCATTGAAACAAAATAAAAATGTAGTTTTAGATAACTTTACGCATACTAATTTGGTGACGTAGTCCACCATCTGCGCTGTTTCGATTGTCGTTAAACTGCTCAACCATAAAGTACTCTATTTCGCACCCAAGTCATCGAGCTACCCAAGCGGATGAGCCATCCCTTCTGCTGAGGATCAAAATTGTGATGGTATGTCTTCGGAACATTCTCAGGGATGTTTCTCAGATCGTCGCCGATAGCCCATTGTGCAACTCTAGAGCGACATAAATAAAGTACCCAACTACCATTTTTCAAACGTCTCTCCCGAGCAATCTACTTAAAATTTAACAACATTTAGGATTTGAAGTTAAAATTGTTTTTTTCTCACTGCCCGAATATCAAAACGTAATCAAAAGCAGTTTTTGTGGTGCAAAAGAAACACACCGACAGGCATGCAGGCAGACAAACTCTTTATTTTATTATAGATTACTTCATGTCAATATAAGAGACGTGATTTTGGGCCATCTTACATTTTTACTCATTATTTGATATCCACTAGGAACTTTTGCAAGTTTTTAATAGTAAAACAGGTATTCTAAGAAAATTTACTTATTTAGTTCAATGTATATCAATAAAAAAAGTATAAATTTGACAGTAAGCATGAAAACTTAAAAAATAAAAATTTTCTTATATGATTTTTTATCTTTTAGTTAATATACCATTATATAAAATCTTTATTTCACGATTCTTGTATTATTTTGAAGTTTTAAATATATTTTAATTTATAAATTTAGTTGGAATGTATCATTCTGTATTATTAATATTTTTGTATTGAAGGTTTCTATGTTTGTTTGTTGACATCATTATTTAATATTTCAGTTGAATGCATAGACAACAAAGCAGCATTTTTTGCCAAGCAGCTGTATCAAGCTTTAAATAACCCAGGAACAGATGACAGAACAATAATTAGAATTTTTGTATCTAGATCAGAAGTTAGTCTCTCTGTCATATTACAAAATCAGTGTTTCAAAATTAATAAATGCTTTATATATATTTTTTTATGTTATATGCAGTTTTAAATTCTTGAGAGTTTTCCATAACTTAATAATCCAGCAATTGATGACAGAACAATAATTAGAATTTCTGTATCTAGATCAGATGTTAGTCTCACTGTTTTACTACAAAATCAATGTTTCAAAATTAATAAATGCTTCATATATTTTTTTTTATGTTGTATGCAGTTTTAAATTCTTGAGAGTTTTCCATAACTTAATAATCCAGGAATTGATGACAGAACAATAATTAGAATTTCTGTATCTAGATCAGATGTTAGTCTCACTGTTTTACTACAAAATCAATGTTTCAAAATTAATATTTTTTTATGTTATATATAGCTTTAAATTCCTGAGAGTTTTCAACTGATTCAATGATAAATATTTATCAAATTCACTTGTGCAATTATTTGCAATGACGTACCATTTAAAATTTTTATAATGAGAAATATTGCAGTTAGAATAATCTACAAACTGATTTTTTAAAACTTTCAATTTCTTAAATTATTTTAAAATTTATTTTCAAATTCTTTGAATGTGGATAATGTGTATTTTAAATTCCTTTTAATTTTTCACAAATGATATAAACATTTCGTTTTGAAGTTGGATGCTAAAGATTATTTTTTTTATCATTTATACTGAGAAAATGACAGCTTCATAAGTTATAAAAAATGCGATTTCAAAATATTTTTTATAAATAATTGCGTAGAATAAAAGTGAAAATTAGACAATAGAATAAATTGTTTTTTTATTCAAATTTTTGGAGCTGTGCCAGACCAAACTTATGTGCATTGTATGTAATAGAAAGCGGACTGTAATGGTTTGATTAAACATTTATTAAACAAAACTTAATGAAACAAATGAACTATATACACGAGGAAAACTATTATGACTGCTGCAGTAGCAGTAAACAATGAAAAGTAGCTCTTGAGAGAGCTGACAAGTGAACTTCCTTGTTCGAAGTTTTTGAGTAAAAAGATGCTTGATTCTGTGACAGCGATGCAAAGAGCGGGGGGTACGATAAGGGTAAAACGCGTAGGCGTATATTTTTGATATCTAATCGAACGCGATCTGTGTTTAAAAATTGTTAACCCCCTCGCCTCCACCATTAGAAGAATTTCATTTACCTCTAATTATCACATATATTATCGATATTAGATACTTTTAAAGATATTTTTAACTGATATACTCGAAAGAATTACACGATATTATGATTTAAACATAGGTAATTTCTACAGAATTCGGATCAAAAATAGGCGATTCAATGTAAGATCATATGTGATGCGACTTTCACCACCGCCATTTTGTGTGACCTAGCAGATTCCCTCACTCCTAAGCTGTTTAAGTCACGTGATTTAAGAGCTTGTGCTAAAGACTGTTGAATAGCACGATGTTATAATTTAAACATTTGTCACTTCTACTCTGTTAGAAGATTCGGTTCTACCTTGGACCTTAATATCGGTACCTTGAACCATAATACGGTACAAATTTTCTGCAATTTTATTAAGGTGTTAAATTGTACCATGCAGTCATTCATGCTGAATTATAACAAAGTTTAAGAAATATGATACTATGGTGCAACTTAGCAACAAATTAAGATTGTAGCATATGTGAGCAACATTATGGTTCTATGCGTTTTAAACTATATAATACTGAAGTAAACGTTATTTTTAATTTCTCTTTTTCTTAAAGTTACTGTTCAATGCGTTCTAAAATATATAATAATAAAGTAAGTGTCATTTTTAATCTTCTTTTTACTTAATTTATTTATTTTTTAACAGGTGGACCTGGCAGATATTCAAGAATGGTATCATATGAAGTACAATGAAGATCTGAGTGAAGCTATTTATGCTGATACAAGTGGAGATTACCGAAAAATATTGCTCAGAATTTTAAATCCATAGAAATATATATAAAAAACGTTTCGTTATTCACGCTATTGTTCACAATATTTTATTCGTATTCATATGAATGAATATAACTTTAAGTGGGAGATAAAATATTTATTTTTAATATGATGTGTCATCTTTTTTTGCATTTGATAACTCGAATATTTTTTTTTTTTTTTGTGTGAAAAAAAAGGAATTCGTTGTATTCCTTTATTCTGTGTTAAAAATATTGTTTAGGCAGAAATGGTAACTTTCAAATAGTATGAAACATAAAAGATAGTTACAGGGTGTAATGATAAAGACTATAAGGAAGATACCTCTGAGTAAATGAGTGATTAATTGTTCAAATAATTGAAATATTATATTTAATTTGATGTATTCGACATAAGTTTTAGAAAAATATATACAGTGAAAAAAGTTTTTGTTCATAACTCTGGTTAGAGTTTTTAAATATTTAAACAACTAATACCTAGAAATTCTTCTATTCTTTTTTCGTATTTGTGTAATTTCTAGCAAAAAAAAAAAGATATGGAATTTATTGAGCATTGAGTTAAACAAAAAAGTAACGCTTCGGATGTTAAAAAGTAATGTTTGAAATTTTTTCTTCTTCGAAATTTTCAGATGAAATTCTAAGAGATAGTATTCTTTAAATATGTTGAAAAAAATGAAAAAAAAACTGCACTGAACACTTAGAATATTTTAAATATTCTGATTTTATATTTAAAATATTCTAGAATATTTTAAATTTAAAATATATTATATTTAAAACATTCTAAAATATTTTAAATATTCTACGCATTCAGTACCTTACTTACAGTGCATTCAGCACATTATCTTATTATCTAGAATTCAGATTTAAACATAAAAAATTTCACACGATGCATTAAAATTGATATATTAAAAAAATATATTTTAGAAGAATGTCACACTTTTTTATTTTTCTCATAATACAAATTTATTCTGAAAGTTAGAGTAATAAAATGCAATCGCGGATATTCTTGAAAGGTACAACGTTTTATTTAAAAATATAAAATGTTGACTTACTTTGTTGTTTATAATTTTAAATTCAATTTAGTTATTTACTCTTTTTTCTTTTTGTTCATTGTGTAGCATTTCTCAATATTTGTTTCTAGTTACGTTGCATGAATCGCTTATAAAATATAATCCACTTTTTAATATTTCATAAGTGGGGTGTTTCAAAATCATCACCTTAGATATAATGTCTAAAATTCTCGTCAAAACCGTGTTCAAAAGTTAAACACATTAAAAGTTTAAGCAAATTAATATAACGACGAAGGAAGAATATAAATTGTATAAAAATCTGTCGAATAATTACTGAAGAAGGCAGAACTGAAAGAATCAAAAACGGCTTGATTGTTTGTAAAACATGAAGGTGTTTCAAATAATCACATTCCTCTTCATTTTCTCAGGTTATCAAACAGAATTTGAGGGAACAGAATTCAGGTTATCAAACAGAATATCGAACAGAACAGAAGGGAAGCAGAATTTTAATTCTGCTTCCCTTGGTGGTATCTCGCTTGTTTGCAAAAAGGCTTTGCTTTCTTTTTTTTTCTTTTTTAGCTTTTGATTTAATTTTTGAAAAACAAAGTTCTAAAAATAGATATTTCAATTTTCAATTATTCAATTATTCACATTTCAATTAACAAAAATTCCTATATTTTTAAAATGGATATAATTTTTTTTTAATTTTGATTAGGCTAAGGAAATTTTTTCCCTAATGAAAAATTGAGATTTAAAGTCTTTGTTTTTGAAATATTACAAAAAAAAAATTATAATGGTGGTCAGATGCCTTGTATTGTTTGTCTAAAGTAAGAACTCCCCTATCTAATCGTCTGGACCCGTGGTGGTGAATATGATAACGAGAAATAACTATATAACTATTTCAAGGTAGGTGTGTGGGGTCATTGTTTAGGGCAGGTTTTGGTTAGGGTCGGCGAAGGAATGGGAAACTTTTTCTTTAGTCTGCTGTGCTAGCCCTAGAATGAAGGGAAGCTACCCTCTCTGAAATGTGCTATTCTTGCTTCTATAGCAGCAGACGGCCTCAGAGTTTGTGGTGGAAGGAGTTCTTACCATAGACAAACTATAGAAGTCCTCTTTGAAGACTGTGTAAATCTTACTCTACTTCAATGACTGCCTCTGCAGACCCTACAAATATCGGTGATCACCGTGTACAGGCACACTTCCTACGCATTAGTTTGATTTTGGAGGGGATCCGCCCATTATGTTGCAACGATAGTGTGACATAGCGATTGCTTGCTGTGCCACATCACACAAGGATGCGCCTGATGACATTGATGCACGCTAATAAAAAGCTCGGCGTCGTATGACTGAGCCGTTGCGGACTGTTAAATAATGAATAAATAAATAAGGTTTCATTAACACTGATTAATGTGTTTATTGAAATTCAAATTGGTTAACAGGATTTCATTTAATAAAATAAATACAGGCTCATAAATAAATAAATAAATAACGAAAATTTTTTAGTTATATTTCTTTTATACAATGGAAGACATTCACAGAGTTCCAACAATCAAAAGTCTATGCAAATCTGAAATAAAAACACTTGGACATAAATAATGAAATAAAAAAAGAGTACTACATTTTTAAGAAGAAATTTCTTGAAATAATAATTGATGGTAATCTATTTTGTATTTAAATTTTAATCTATCAATAAATTGATATTTTAATATGCCACACGCAAAAACGCAAATGGAGATGCTCAATGGTAGTTAGTTAATAGTTCATAGTTAGGATTAAATTAGCCCATTAAGAGGGCCATTAAATCAGCCCATTAAGAGGGCCAAGGCCGACTGTGCCCATCTCAGTTTTCTTGACCTTGGGCTCTGGGGTGCAGGAGCATATGTTCCGGTCAGGTGGTCAGCCGAACGCGGAACCCCCAGTGTTAGTTCCCAAGCATGCTTGGTACTCATTTTATCGACCCACTGAAGGGATGAAAGGCTGAGTGAACCTTGCCCGGCCCGAGGATCGAACCATGGACCTGAGGCACGACAGCGCGAAGCGCTACCGCTCAGCCACCGGGCGTCATAGTTAGGATTAGTATCATGAATATTTTGATTTAAAGTTTAATTTCTCGAAATATGAGTGTCCAATTTTGTGATTATTTTTTACATTAAAATTAAAGTCAGGTTTAAAAATTTTTGTCATATTTTAATTTGTTAACAAGAACGTTTTAAAATTTATATTTAAAATCAAAATCAATTTTGAGACTACAGAACTACTGAAAATTGAAAGTCTCTCATTATAATTGTAAATAGAAAAAAAAAAGATTTCTGAAAGAACGAACTCGTGAGTTTTTATTTCACATACTTAGTAGAAAAATAACTCTATCGATAACAGATTCCTTTAAACATAAAACAAATTAGAAAAAATAAAATATTTTGTCGTAAGTAAAATTAAATGAAAATTACAAAAAATACGTACTTCCAATCTGTTCCAAAATGCTTCACCCAGCTGAAAATTTAAGAAAAATTATTAGTGTAGTAAAAATAAAAATAAAGAAATTGAAGTAAAGAAAGTAAAACGAGTTTCCCCTTTGTAAAAAAGAAAGAAAAAGAAAAGTGTTTATTACAATTTCCCAAGAAAATTCTTGTTAATGTGATTTGACGATGTTTAATGACGTTGAATGTTTGCTGCACCCTCAAAGGCTTAATTAGTTGCTTTGAAGCAGGGTGAAAAGAAATGGCTTGGACAAAGTATGAAACAAAACATTTTTATACACTGGCTTAGAAAATTTTAAGAAACAATTGCATTTCTACATCTAAGGTCAAAGAAGATTAGTTTTATTTTTTTATGGTCCTACAAGAACAATAATCCATTAAGAGTCAACATATTTCACTGATTTCAAATTTATTATTACAGTGAAAACTATTTTATTTCATCAAGTTTTGTGAAATGAAATGGTCTTGTCTTTCACATCTATGTGTATTTGAAACTTTTTTTGGTCAAAAGAGACAGGTTCAAAATTAAACAAGGTAGATTTTTACTCGTGTAATGTTATCCTAAAGTTTTGAATAGTTTTTTTTATTATAAAATGTTGTTGTTGTTACTTATGCTACTTGCCAATACCAATTTTTAAGACAGAAGGTACAGTTCTTGTTTTTTCAGTGGCGCCATCTATGGCCAATCATGATCCATTCATCCACAGAGATCGCAAATTTGACATGAACCAGAGAACGATCAGTCTCCAATTTAGAAACTTCTGGGGTATTGACTTGTTATGGAAACTTGGAGGACTTTGTGACCTAGTCACCATTTAATTCACGGGGAATCTTCAGTCAACACTAGTTTAACCAGACTATCCCAGCCCATATAAAATGTTAAAACCATTTTAGTGCACATCGAAATCCCAACGTGCTCAAACGAAGTAATCGAAATTTCTTTTCATCATATAGCTCTCATTATTTCCTTCAAAAAAATACCAATGATGATTTTTCAATTTTCAATTGGTTATTAGTAATAATCTAAGGTTATTACTAATAACCAATATGCTATGCAGTGAAAATTTAGGTTAGGCGTCGTGATACTCAATTTAATGAAGGAAAATGTTAAACCATCACGACGAAAAAAAAATTACACATACCTTTTACGAGAAAATGATAACTACAGTTAAATATTTTAATGAAAAAATATGTGAAATCTATCTTTATTTTATTTGACAGAAAAAAATTTACAACTGTTTCGAAACATAAAAAAATATAAGCTAGAGATGTTAAACAGAGTGACTTAATATCAGGTATTACAATTTTAAACCCATCTTTTTAAATCTTATGTTTGCTTAACATTATCAAATATAATGTAATATTTCGATAATTTCGTAGACTAATAAAAAAAAAAGAAAAAATATATATAAATATTCAGTTTTTTTTTTGTTTTCAGCCTTAATTTATTAGCTTCATTGAATCAGCATGTTTAAATTATAAACCTTTATTAAAATACAATCTGTATTTATAAGCTCATCTGTAAAAAATTATAATTTAGATTTGTGATTTTTTTCTTTTGTCAGGCAGTTAGAAAATTTCGAATCTCAAGTTTCATTAAATATATAATGCAATCTGTGCATTTTAGCGTTTCAAACAACTATAAATATAAATAGATGAAACTGATAAAATTAATTTTTGAATATTTTGGACTTTGTAATAAATAATATCTTTCATCTAATATCTTTCAATACTATCTTAAAATAATTGTCTTTTTTTGTTGATTGCTCATATTACGAGACTGCTATTTTTGGAAAATTGAAAGTGTTATTATCATTTATCAAAACAATAATTCAGAATTATGGAATCACACGAAAGATTCAAAAACTATGATAATCAAACTTTAACTCCATCTCTAAAATGACATCTAGCAAATTTTAACAAATCATAACTTTATGAATTTTTTTAGGAAAAAATTTCAAAATTTAGTGTATTAACGAGAGTTAAAAATAATTATTTCTTTACAAAAACATTTAAACCTTTTAAAAAAATTAAATATAACAAGAAATTTTATTTTTAAAAAATATGTAAGTTAATTTACTAATAGTGTTTTGGAAATAAAGAGCGTTATGATTTGAGGGAAAAATATGCGAAATGTATATGTTCCTCCAATTACGTAGTTCTTATGGATGCGAACAAATCATTGATCTTTTGAATTGCTTGAAAAGCATGTGTTAGAATTTTCGGTTTATTATTTATACATTTTCTGTATTTGTGAAAAACAAGGTTAATGTAACACTTGTACAGAATGTGGACTAAATGCGTTTATTTCTTCTCATTTGAGATGCACGTTAACTAGTACGAATATTTCAATGGCAAGCAAATAAATGAAGAAAAATTAAATCAAATCTGTAGTCTTACGATCTGTATAATAGCACTTGAAATATTATTTTAACTGTCGAAATGACTCATTACCAAAATGCAATGAGGAATCGGAAAGCTCCGAGTTTATGAAAGGTGACTAAGTTGGTCTTCAAACGTGACTAGATTATTAATATTCATTAAGTTTGAACATTAAAAGAAATGAAAAGTATAATTATTATTTATCAAATGCTATATTATCATGCTAAAGCAAATTTCATTTTGCTCAAACTTGCTGTTTTACTAGTAACAATAAATAAAAAAATCAATTTTAATCATGGCTCATAGGCTAGTATAAAAAATTAAGAAATAAGCAATTTTTCTTATAAAAAAGTAATATCTTAATGAAAATGTACATCCAAAATATCCTATGTATTATTCAAATATAAAGCAAAAGTTCAAATTTTAGTAAAAATTTGAATTGTTCGAAATGATAATAGGTAATTGTTTTTAGCAAATTTATGAAACTTGTCTTCCCTAGCGCAATCTCATTTGTGCATATATTTAACTAATATCCTGTTTCCATTGGCAAGTTAAAAAAAACTTGAAAGTTCGGAAAAACCTGTTTAAGAAAGCTTAAACCTTCTATTGGAAACAGGGTATTATTGTTATAAATTTTCCGAAAAATTGGTTAAATAATTACTCTATTTTTAGGTTAAAATAGGTATCCTTTTGATTTTACTTTCCTTTTTACGAGTAACAATAGATAAAATAATCACTAGCCCAATGGCGTGAGGTTAGTATAAGAAAGAAGGAAAGAAAACCATTTTTCTTGTACAAAAAATAATATTTTAAAAGAAATTTACATCCAAATTTTGCTTAAAATTTATTTTTTAACCAGTTGATTATTTTAATTTTCTATAAAACGATTTAAAAGAAGTAAAATGACTTAAGTACAAACCCAATCGAAATAGATATTTTTTAAAAATAGATTTAATAAAAAAATAACATCTTATCATTTATGCAAGATAAATCGTTGTTTTGCTATAAAACCCAACAAAACTGAAAGTTACTAAAAAGAAGAAACAATAACTTACATCATATGTTTCATCATTTCCAAGCTTTTCTGCCACCTGAAAAATATATAACAGAATTTATGACTTAAATTAAACTAAATGTTAAGTTTAATTCATATTATTCGAAGGAAAAAATAAAATAAAACTCCCAATTCATATGCAAACTGACAACCATTATATTAAAATTTTAACTTATTTCGTTTTTCTAATTTAGTTTCATTTGGTTAACAATAAAAATATTTATTTTGACCCTGTGACAAGTCTTCGCAATTCACTATTTAAGGTATATAAATATTCTATTATGATATTAATAAGACACACGTTGCCCCCAACCACAGATTTCGAAATGCTATAGAATGCCTAAAATCGATCTACTAAAAAGGAAATGATTATTATTTCATACACTGCTTATGAATTCTATAAAATGATTAAAAAGAGAATGATGAGACATTGACCTGTCAATGTACATAATGATTTTCATATTTCATACTTTGGATAAAAAGCGACGATCATTCTACAGAAAAAAAAGAAGAAGAAAAAAACGCGACATTCTATAGAATGGCAGTATTTCATAAATTCACGCTAGCATATCTTTATATAAAAGGATGATGATCCAAAAATATTTCTCATTACTGTTGGTGCATTCTTATTGGGAAGAAAATTATGTGATTGAATACTTAATTAGCAAAGAAGATCGGGAAAACTATGGTTGTCATCAATGTAAAGTAAGTAAATTTATAGCGGTATTTCCCTGTTAATAATTTATTTATCTCTTTGTTAGCCATGTTTTTTCTGCTCGTTTTTGATTTCAGAGATATTTAATATTAACTTCATGAAATTATTTTTACTTGCATTTAATTATTAAGCTATTTTAATTTAACCAATTTTGTCATTTCAATCCTTATTATTAAAAGAGAAGGATACAAGCGTGACATTCCTGTTAAAAGTAACATTTTTAATTAAAATTAAGGGCTTAAAGTTTAAAATGGTGTTTCTTTATTGTATTATAATATAAATTTAAGATGCTTACTTACTAAGTAGCATTTTATGGAAAATATATTGAATTAACTTTTTATAATAATTAGGCAGTAAATAATTTAGATTTGCTAAGGTACACTGTAAAAAATAGATACTCGATTATTATGAAACTTTCTTCGTTTTGGACGACACCGTTTCCTGGCATATGCTCTGAGCAAAGATTTCGTCAAAGTGATGAAATAGCTATCGCCACTTCTTCGAGGGAACGAATTTCATCAAAATTAAAAAACTATTTCGTCCTTCTATTCTTTTTCCGAAAAATTAAAACTTGTAGTGCCTAATGTATCTAACATTTTTAATAACCAATCTAACGCTGGCACCATATAGACGGCACTTCACAATAAGGACAGATAGATAAATTACTCCCATGCCCGAAGAGGGATTCGAACTCCGGATCTTCCTTGTTAAAGGTCAAATTCATGACCACCTTACAAACCGAAGAGGGTAATTTTTGCAGTTTATTTTCGATTGTTTAGTCTTTTTTCGATTATCTAGTTTCATCATTCTAGTTAACAATCTTCCACAATGCATTACGAAGAGGTTTTGAAATAAGAAAACATTTAAGTCATACATTTAAGAGATCGCGTTTCGTAATAAATCACGTGATTTCGTGATGAAATAATTCTCAAAATTAACAAAACACTGCTGAAGGATTGCTGAATTGTCAAAAGAGAGAGTTTGTATTTCTGAGAATATCTTGAGGGGAATTTTATTATCGACTATGTCAACCATCATACCTGCCAACTCTTCCGGATTTTCCGGAAGATTTTATTTTCATATTTAAAGTGGTAGCAATGCTCAGGTTATTCCAATTAATTTTTTGAATTATAATGATAATTATAAATGAGTTTGACCATCGCTACATATAAATAATAACAATAAATATATGAAAGCACACTAATCCTTGCTCAAGCTAATTTCAACGGGATCAAGATATAAATATATTTTTCAGTCAGATTGTGTTTCGTTTATTGTCTTACAACCACTCTGAAAATCCATTCTCGGAAAGAGTGAAAGTTGGCAGGTATGCAACCTTCATCTACCGAAAGTTACCTCGAGATGGATTCAAGTTAACATGTCTTATATACTAGAGAATTGGTATTCAATATTTATAGTGGTAGTTACACCACAATCTAAAGCTTTTTATACGTTTCACGAAAAGCTGTGGACAATCAATATAAATGCAAGCAAAAAAATTAATTACTAAATAATCCTTTAAAATTGTAAGATTAAGAATTAACTTTTAGCGCAATTGTTAAACAATCTCTTCAGTGATCAGAATTTAACGAGTTTTCATAGATACCGGAAATTAAGTAGGATTTAAAAAACAAGTCGATGTATGAAATTGCAATGGTAACCGTGAGAAATAATTATTTTAAAATTTTACACACTCAGAAAAAAGTATGGTCAAAACTGCCAGAATATGGTAAAATGTACTTTGGTTTTAGCTCTATAAGAACTCTAGAAAGTCTCAGTACTTCTTACCGATGCGCTTTGCTAATGATTTTGCTAAAATTAACAATAAAATATGGTTTTATGAAATGTGGTAAAATTTTGTAAATGTCTTAAAATTCGGTAATTTTGTCTTGATACCTTAAAGTCTGGCATAAAAATAATTTATTCCGTGAATTTTACTTTTTAGTATTGTACTTTCACTATATACCTATTGACAAGAACAGCAATTTTAAGAATTAGAATTTCCGACAAACCGTTCAATGGACATGAACAGAAAATTTGCCAAATGAATGGTTTAATTGAAATTCCTCAAATAATACGTCAAAAGAAAAACTTTTTTGCCAGCTCTGCTGTCATATAACAGATAGAAAAACATCTTATATGTCAGTTTACAGATAAAAAAATATCTTTGAACATAACATTTTTGCAATGGTTTATCAAGAAAAAACTAACAAAATACTTTACCAACTTGGCAGCAACAATGTCATTACAAATTTTTGTCAAAGCTCCTGAAATTGTTTTTTCTTTAGTGATCGAAATTGTTTCATCTTTAATCTAAACATAAGCAGAACAAACATTATTAATATATAATTTACTCAACAAAGAACTAATAACAAATTAACATATTTTTATTACCATTGTTTGTTTCATCTAATGTACAGTGCGAAAAAAAAATGGATTACCCTGACGGATTACTTTTGATCAAATTATCGGATTTTCACGTTCTAGGACTCAATCTTAATGGCTCGAGGGGCTGACCTCAAATATGCTAATGAATAAGTACACACGATATTTTAAGTTACTAAATCATACACGAAAACGTACTTTCTCTGAATCAACACACCTTTTTTTTCGACGGATTTGGATTACGGACCCTCAAAATATAAAGTATCTGCAATCTGGGGTTTGGTCAGGAGAACGATTCAAAGCTTGGGCCCCTTAATATTAATTTTACAACTTTGCTAATTTTGCTATATCTCGAGAACTTTTTAAACTAATTGAAAAATATTTTCACACAATTACAAGATCCGAAGAAAATTCCAGGCAAAAAATAACTTTTAGTTAATATTTATTATTTTTCATTATTTTATTTAAGAAATGTCAAAAAAATTTAGAATTGTAAGGAACGCAATTTTTGCAATATTTCAAAGAATGTAATTCTATACAGCAAAATACAAAATTTGAGCGAAATCGGTTGAATAGTTCCTGAGAAATTAAATTTCAAAAATTCAGATACTTAAAATTTGATTTCTATTCTACCGATTCTATTCTATTCTATCAAACTATTCTACCGATTTGGCTCAAATTTTGTATTTTCCTATGTAAAATTACATTCTTCAAAATGATGCGAAAAATTGCGTATCTTAAATTCAATTTTTTTTTTTTTTACCATTCTTAAATAAAATATTAAAAAATAATAAATGTTTGCTAAACGTTATTTTTTGCTTGGAATTATCTTTGGATAAACGAATTTTATAATTGTGAGTAAAAATGTTTCGATTCCACTTAAAAAGCTTTCGAAATGTAGCGAAATACTTTAAAAGTAAAACTAACGTCGTAGAGTCCAAACTTTGGAGAGCTCTCCTAATCTAACTATGGGGACCATATATCCCAAATCCAAATCCGTCGAAAAAAAGGTATGTCTATTCAGAGTAGGTACGTTTTTGTGTCTTATTTCATAATTTAAAATATCGTCTGCCCTTATTGATTAGGATATTTGAATTCACCCCTTCGAGCCATTTAAATTTAGTTCTAGGAAATGAAGATCCAATCATTAGATGGATTGTAAATTTCAATTGTGAATTGAAATTATACAGGGTGGTCCATTTTTAGTTTTGCTCACTGTACAAAAGCTAACAATCTTTTGTCTCAAATTTTCTGCCAGAAACAAGTATTACAGATTTTTAGTGATTCATAGCCAATTTAACTCCATAACATTTCTTTAAAAAAATTGTCCAGATAAAGTCAATATTCAAAATTCACGAGTTTTTAAAATTTAAATTAATTAATTTATTTCTACACTTCCCTGGTATTGTAAAGATGGGTGGTAGATTATGATACATTGTAAATGCATTCTACAAATAAAATAATTAGTTTATTCACTTTCAGATAAGTAGAATAGCACCTAAAGACTGAAACTGATAACGGCTGTTGTTTGCTGTGGTAGCGCGGTGGTCAGAGTGTTGAATTCCACGCCGCATGAACTGGAATTCAATTCTCAAAACAGCTAAAGACCAATTGACTACATGTGATATACGTGCTCCTAAAATCTGTGAATCAAAAGTCCTGTGGTCGGTGGCTGAGCTATACTATGAGTTAAGGGATGAGTACGGTAATGCTGCCATCTATCCGGCTAGTTCTGAGTTAAGTCGCACTTTTACCCTAACGGTGCTCTCTTGTCAAGTGAAACTCCCACTTTCCGAACCTTATTTGCAATGCTAATGGCTGCTGAATTTGTCTTGTCTAAGTGTTTTTAGAAACAACAACAACAACACAGTGCAGGCAACATCAGTAAAACTTTTGGGATTCGAAAAAAAATATTTGTTTAAAGCAAAGAGAATAACCAAACAAACTTTGAAATTCAACTGTTTTTGAAAAAGTACATTTTTGTGCAAAATTTACATTATCAAAGACAAGAAATTTACTCAAGAAAATATTTAGTAATAAAAAAAAGCTTTTTTATTCCTTACCTTCTTTGGGAACATATCCACACAATCCAATACTTCCAATTTCATTTCTGCATTTCCACCTGATAAATAACAATGCTTCAGAAATTGAAATATTTTTTTACCAGTGAACGAAGTATAAAATAAAATTTAGGGAATGAGAAACAAAAATTATTAAATATGTGCATAAGGTAAAAATATATCAAATTCGAACAATATCTTATTTTCCTTTCCTTTCTGCAGGATTGTTAAGAACTTAATAAATAATAATACTCAATAATGTTTAGAACTTATTAAAATAATTCTAATCGCTTAGATTTTAATAAACTAAGGCCAATTTCTCAATAAAGTAATTTCACATATCGCTTATATAAATTATCTGCCACAGAAAGTGAAGTTACTTAAAATTATCTGAAATTTTATATGCAGGGTGTTCTTTAATCATAGCCTTTATTGAAATGCTTAGATTTCTTGCTGACTAGTAAAAAACCTTACCACAGGTAAGGAAATGCTATGGATAATAAGATCTCACTACGTTAGGGATTGCAAACTAATTTTTAAGTATACAAAATACAAAAAAAAACTTTCAAATTCTGAAGGATCATCACCAATGTTAATCATTATTTAAGAGAATTAAAATAACGAAACCAATTTCATTTATTTACTGGTGGTGACATGGATGTTGTTAGGATTCGTTTTAATTTTTTTAAATGATCTTTTTTTCTGGGATGTCTGCCTAAACCTTCCCCCACCCCATTAAAAAACGTCTCCCTAATTAAAAGTGAAAAGATTATTGCCTTATTATCCTAATTCTGCTGCTTGAATAGTGATAATAGGATAGTAAAGCTGCGCTTCAGCCAGTGCCGTAGCGAGCTTAACTCGCGCCCGGGGCACAATACCTTTTCAGCGCCCCCCCCCATTCGAAAACCATCTAATATTATAAGTAAAATATACTCGCAAAGTAATAAATAAATAAAGTAAAATAAATAAAGTCATAGGCTCAAGCTAGGCATTAAATTTGAGACAAAAAATGTAGTTGAGAAAACAAGACTAGATTTTGAAATGTATATGATCATCTAGAATTAGTTCAAAAGATACCTATTATTTATTTTACATATTTATAAAGAAATATTTTAAAAACACGCAGTTTTAAAACAATAAAAAAGTAAATATTTATTATCTAAGGAGATACATATATTTAATAATATTATTATAATACATTAATAAAACTAATTACTATGTATAAATTTTCCGCTTTTGATGAAGCAAATTTATCAATAATGTCATCAAAGTTGATCATTTCAAATTTTTTCATACCCTATTCACTGAATAATAGAATCGTTGAGTAGATGTAGTAAGTAATCTTATTTGTTTCATTACTAACCACGAATGCCTTGAACTTGAAAGGTAGCAACACAGTGAAATATACAGTATAATTTATGCTAACATTAAACTTAAAACATTTAATAACATTTCATTTTTATTCTAAGCAGAGCGTGATGACAATGACGCAAAACTGAAAAATACAGGCACAAAGTAACTTAAACGTTAATATTTCGGGTATTTACCTAACTTGTAACGGAATTGCACAACCTGTCGTAAGTGTCACGGATATGTACAGTCACGGAAAAAAGTATCCGGAAAGTAACAAATAAAGAATCATTTATTTTTTGATACAGATAATTCTCAGGTACACAACAAATACGGCGTTAGTGTCCTTTCCTAGAAACAGCAAAACGCTGTATTTGTTGTGCGTCTGAGAAGTATCTATATTAAAAAATAGACAATCTTTTAGTAGTTATTTTCGGGATACTTTTTTCCGTGACTGTATTACATATAAGTACATTAGAGTGCTATTGTTATCGTTTTAAAATAAGAAGCGTAAGCTACATTGCGTTTATAGAAACAAAAATAAATAGTGTTCTGAAAGAAAGAATGTTTGTACTTTGTACACTGTACAAACATACCAACACTTTGTACACTGATGTTTGTACTTTGTACACTGCAGATATTTGGAGATAATATATGTAACCACACAGCGTAGATGCCATAAGGAAGTGCTGACAGACACAGGTCGAGTCAGCCCAGTGGAAAAGACGTGTCAATTCTATTATGAATATATTATTACAGTTGGATTAGTGTTATTTTTTATTTACGAACTAACATTTATTATATTTCACCGGCACTAAATTTAAAATATATTTTCCAGAAATAAATTATAATAAAAATTATCCAACAATTTTTTTTGTTTTGCTGACCATTTGGCGCCCCTTTGTGTGTAGCGCCCGGGGCATGATGCCCCCCTTGCTCCCCCCTCGCTACGCCACTGGCTTCAGCGTTACTATCTAAGTTTTTCAATATCAAACACTTAAAATAAGGGAAAAATGTTTCTAATCCAGTCTTGACAGTAATCTCAATGCTTGAACTTCATTATTTTCAATCAACTAAAAGCAAAATTGTCTGGATTATAATTATATAAATGTGATTTATATTAAATAATTGCTAAGTGTTCTCACTTAGTACAACTATATTTCAAACATGCGTACATTTAAAACATATTTTTTTTGGCAAAAATATTATTGATCTTCATCTGTGAACGTTGGACATAACTCTAGAATTATCCTATAGCTTTGTAAAAAAAATATCTTTCTATAATACTTACCACAAAAGCCTTTATACACAAACAAAGCAAACTTTCTTTTCAATTCAAGATTTTTAGCAGAAATAAGGATTATGATGCAAGAAATAAAAATTAAAATGAAGCGGTTGTTTTTCATTATTTTTTTAGATGTGCTTCGTTCAATAGATAGTGAAAAATGGCAAAATATTAATAAATATAAGTTCTGTGGGATACGGATATAAGTAATTACCATTCAGCATAGTGTATCTTGCGAAACAGTAAGAAATATACTATAAAAACATTAAAAACATAAAAAAAAGAAAATCAGGGTATGGATGCCTGCTTGATAAAATCCGGGTATAGACATTCTGCTGGGATTAGAGTGATATCATTATTTTCCTAGTGCAAAGATTTTTCTCCGAAAAAATATTGTTTCATTGTGCTGTGACAAGATATTTCCTAAGTTGCTTATTAGACTACAAATTTAAGAACTGTCAATTTCCACAATATTTTAATTTTACCTTTCTTTAAACGTAAATTAAATAAATTTTAGCCTCATTATAAACGTTAAGGTAAGACTACTTGGGATTTCTTTTTCATGTTAAAGTTTTCCTGGTGATTAACTCATAAATCAAAACCAGTTTTTAATTTAATCTACTGGGGGGTATCTGACTGCCTTTTGCATCATAGCACAGAGTGTTTAACTTTGAGTGTTACACAAGTTTTCAGGAGACGTTTATTGGCTTTATATAAAACACTTCTATAAAGCTCCGTTGGTAAATAATGGCAATTTAGAAGCAAATCAAGGTTTACTGAAAATCAAAGAATAGTCTCAGTATCCATTATCCTAGTATGATTATTTTGAAATAATTATAAACCATCCCGTAAGTAAGAGATCAATGTTTAATTGGTAAAAACTTGAACAATATTCACTTAACTCAGACAATGGTGCTAGTATTCATTACTGTAGGTTGATTATTTTGAAGCAACTAAAAACCATCCCGTATATCAAAGGTCAATGGTAAATCGACTAAAAACAAAACAATATTTACTTTACTCAAACAATGGTGTTAATGTTAATTATTGTGAATTTATTATTTTGAAACAATAAAAACCATTTGTAAATAATAAATTCAACCAAGTAAATTAATTTATAAACAAAACAATAAGCATTTAACTCAAACATTATTCTTAATATTTATTATTTTAGTATAATTATTTTGATACAATTAAGAATTATCAGTAAATCAACGTATAAACTACACTGGATTGACTTTATTTAATACAATAATCTAATTACTACTATAGTATGACTATCTTGAAACAGTTAAAAAACTTCAGTAAATAAAGGTCAATTGTTAATCACGTAAAAAAAAGCAATACTCACATGAACTCAAATAATACACTTACTCTTCAGTATCCATGTATAATTAAAAATAACCCCTTCCCCAGTATTTAAACTAAAACAATTGTCCAATATAAATTCTACAGGAAAATTTTAATATCAAAATACCACTATTATTTTAATAATGATAATAAAATAATATCCAATTGACTTTAGAAATTTGATCCTGTTGTTTTAAATATGCTTTTCTTTCGATAATCATGAATCATTTTTGAAAAATACTGAAACTGATCGATGAATTCAATGCATCTTAATAATGGGATTTATGCTGCAGTTTATTTAAGAAATTATTCTTAAAATAACTCGTTTTTCAGCTAAATATATATGAAGCAAGGGAATAACGAATGATTTTTACTGTCGTACCACAGTTTAAGAGTAAGTTTATTGTCTTTTACAATACGGATTTTAAAGAAAAAATAACATTTTTTTTTTTATCGAAATTTTACTTACCACAAAACTGCTTTTGCACAAACAAAGCAAACTTCTTCTTCAATTCAAAATTTTTTGCAGAAACGATGATTAAACTGCCTGAAATAAGAACTAAAAGTAAGCTACAGTTTTTCATTGTTTATTTCTGATGCTTTCATCTAATCTCTTATAATAAAAAGGGGCCAACATTTTGTTGTATATAAAGGCAACTATATCGCAATAACAATAAAAAATTATATCATAAAAGCTTTAAAACACAATGAGAAACCAGATCTCAGTACGGATCTTTACTGTGAAAAAGTTTTTTTCTCAGAATATATATTTGTTTATTATCATATTCAACCTTATTATCTCATTATCCTCAGTATGAATAAACACACTGTCCTTGTCATAAAATCATCAAAAGGCATGATTAAAGATGTGAACTGTTAGTGAATTATTAAATGTGTTGAAAATTTTGAGTTTGTCTAACTATTATTTTTCCAAATTATTTAAAATTCCGTGGAATAAAATAATATATTGAAAATCAAAGAATACGATACCTTTTCTGTTATGTAAATTTTTAATATTCTATAAAATATGTAAATATAAATTATGTAAATATTTGATATTCATTTATTCTAATACCGATGTTAAATTGTAATAGTTCTTATAAACTTGATTATAAATCTTAATTTATATTTATGTTTTGTTTTTATCAATCTTTGCACATTTTAATGAAATTTTACGGATCATCTAATAAGGGTTAACTTTGAATTTTTTGACTTGCAGTGTATTAATATATTTTTACATATATAATGATGATACATATGATGCCGACAATTTTCTCTTAAGTATTTAATTCATTTTTGAAGAAAATATTTAGAACCTGTGATTAGAAGCTGAAAATAGAAAAAAAAATGAAATAAAAATTGTATTTTTTTAGTAATATTAACATTTGTTAAATGCACTATAAAAATGTATGAATGAAAATTGACTTTTTTTGTCAACAAACGGTACAATTGTTACCTATTATAAGAAAATAATTACTTCGCCAATTTTATATTATCTTGCAGAAAAATACGCATATTATCATGATACCACAACTGATGAGTAATTTGATTAATTTTAAATGGATACCACAATATTTCTATAATATTTCACATGTCAATATTAACCGTCTTAATATTAACTGGGACGTTAAAGTTATCTTTCCTAAAAACATTTTATTCTCTCTATATTGAATAACATTAGGGCTACCGAATCCGCCGCTCATTTGGGTGTTCAGTTTAACGTTACACAGAAGGAAAATTCTGGTACAATTAACGCACTATATGGTAATAGCATTTCTGGTAAAAAAATTCATACTTCTGGTTATAAAAACCAAGGTATAAGGTATTTAAACCATTCAATTGGTACTTTTGTTTTCATATGGTAACGTAGGATCGTTGCGTTGCTAGAAGTAAATAGCGAAATTCATTAATAGAGAAAAATCATCGAGTAGTATCTATCTATCTTAATATATATATATATATATATATATATATATGCATTAATGATATTGTTTCCTGGAATATTTCGACAAGTTAAATCTTCACTTACGATTTTAGTTCCGTTAGTAGCATTAAGCTTAATGGATCATATAGATTACACAATTAATTAGAAAATGCAACATTAAGAAGGACAGGAGTTAAAACCAGGCATGTTTGAGAAGTGAGAGCACTAACCCCTGCACCATTCTGCCAAATTGGTATATATAGGTATAAGTATAGGTATATATAGGTATAATAGGATAATTTGCAAATGGCAAAAAATGCTCCCGGAACCTAGTAATATAACACATCAGTTGCAATCTGTTTCGTTAAAAATTAAGTAATTTCATGTCGAAATTATTTTGAAAGAAATGCAGTTTAAGTATTTCTGAAATATCAAAAGTGAT